GCCGAGATCGAACTCCTTCTCGAGGTAAAGAAATCAGTGATTGCTTTCAGCTGTGCACCTTCAATAGGTAGCGGTAACTACTGAGTAGCCAGCAGTCTCAGTTTCGGCCCCATTACTTCTCTTCCGGGGTCCACAGGAAAGCAAGATGTGCAGCAGGTGCTGCTGCCGCTAGCTAGCTGTGGGTCTGACAAAAGCCAAAAGCCAAATTCGCAGTCCCTGCTCCCTGAAGTGGTACTAGTACTAGTACCAGATACGGTACCATACTAATACCAGTACGGAAGGTACCAGTACAGTTCGGATTAGGCAAAAGTACCGTGCGACAGGAGTAAAAGACTGGAACTGTGATTAATAGGCTACATGTACACATGTACATGTATTACTCTTGACTTATTGTTTTAATAAACACAAAGTGCACCGTCCGGATTATCGATCGAGCAGGGTGCCATAAAGTGCACGGTACAGTACGGATTATCGATCGAGGGTGCCAGTTTCAAGCTCAGTCATTGTCTTTTTCAGCTCTTTGTCAAAGTCATTGTCAACCACGGTACCACTGCCGATATCGATCGAGAAGGGTGCCAGTGTACCAGTCCCAGTAGCTGTGCCAGTCATTGTCTTTTTCGGGTTCTACTGTAAGCTTCGGTCAAAGTCATTGTCAACCAGAAACCATCTGACACCAACTTTGTACTGAGTACGATACATCTTACTGCATGCCACGTGTTTCTAATGTATGTGTTTCAGCAGCCCCTTTATACTTTTGGCCAGTAGTCATGGTGGTGCTTTTCCAATTATTGGTGAACTGGTACAAGGATGCATACGTACCTACCGGTACTAGGTAGCCAGTACTCCAAACGCAATTAATAGAAGTACAAGTATGGATACCGGTATGTCCTGGTACCCCCTTTTAGCAAGCTAGCTAGTACTCCTAATACAATTAATAGTAGTACTGTACTCCGAGTACGTCTGTACCAATGGTACCGTACCATGGTACATGGTACCACAGAAAATACATGTAGACTAATAGTAGTCTACTCTGGATCACCAGCAACACTTTGAGTACTTCACGTATGACATATTAAATTTAAAAATAGTGTACTTTAAAACTCCGATGTAGCGGTTTCAGTAGACTACTGAGTACTGTTTTTCTCACAGTCTGGGGATACTTGTTGCAGAACCCGGAAAAGGTCCGGGCCATCTCGCAAGGGTGGTTGCCAGTTCCCGACCACCAGAGTTGCATGCCTCGCCTCAAAAAGACGAAGTGACTTGCTCCGAAAGTAAAAAGAGTTAGTTGCGGTAACATAATTATTAGTACATCGTAGTTTACAAATTAAAACCTAAAAAATATTTATTACCATGGCTACCTGACAAACAAGTAAGTCATAGATTGTTGAGTTTGTGGATGCCGGTTCGCCAGGCATGCGCATAGATCTACTCAAGCACGAATATTGAACATTCATTCTAGCTTGGAGGGCCCCATTGCCGACCAAGATATTCTTTCACAGCTCACAATTTGGATTCTCCACAAGAGCAAAAGCAGCTCATCAAAACCAACCAAGCAGCACCTCTTTTCTTCCTTTTTGGCAACCATGACATTCTCATCCAAAGTCCTTTTGCGCTCATCTTTGCTTGTGGCCATCCTTGGAACAACCCTTGGTCATGGTACTCAGGTCTTGACCTGCATCAGTCCTGATGGAGATCTCCGTGTGTTCATTGAGCACAGTCATCAATCCCTACAATCTCCTCCAACTGGAAATAATGACAATCTTATTGAGGTCCGAAAGAACAGTGACGCCCTCAACGATTTTTATGCTGCCGGGGTGATCAATTACTGTACACTCGTGAGAGTGGCCTGGGGCAGTACTGCAAAGACAACACCCTCCCTGCCCACATTTCTAGCTGTGCCTCGGCGAATCTGCACCGTAATTGGGTCTGGTTTGACGTCTCAAGTGATGCCTGTAATCAGCCATCCGATTCCTACACCATCAATCGAGGCGGCAATACGTACACGGAAGATTGTCCCCAACTCTATCCCCAGACCTTCTCAATCTCTGGTATTTGTGCTGCGGCTGGTCTCCCCCCGCCTAGTCTCCCCCCACCTAATCTCCCCATCACAGGAAAAATTGCTGGTGATCCCCACATCCAAACTTGGGACAAGGAGTGGTATGATTTCCATGGACAGTGTGATCTTGTCTTCCTTTCCAACCCAGATTTCAATGACGGCGAAGGTATGGATATCCACGTCAGGACCACAGGCCGCTACCAGTACTCCTACATTGAAGCTGCTGCCGTGCGCATTGGAGATGATGTCCTGCAAGTCAGCTCCCATGGCAACTACTTTTTGAATGGTATTGGACAGGCTGAACTTCCTGCTACTCTTGGCAAGCACAATGTGACATACTCTATTGATGACAACAATAGGTACACATTCACCACTGATCTTGGAGAGGGAAAGAATGTTGTCGTCCCAACTTTCAAGGACTGGGTCAATGTCAAGATGGATGCCGCTGATATCAAGCACTACGGAAACAGCAAGGGTCTTCTTGGAGAGTTCCCCACTGGTGACTGGGTTGGCCGTGACAACTCTATCTTTACTAATGCCAATGAATTTGGACAGGAGTGGCAGGTTCGTGACACTGATGCCAAGCTTTTCGCGGTCAACCGTGAACCCCAGTTCCCCCAGAAGTGTGTCATGCCTGACCCCCAGAGTGCTGCTCGTCGTCGTCTTGGAGAGTCCATTGCCAAGGCCACCGCTGAGACGGTCTGTGAACACTGGGCTGCTGATGAGAAAGACCTCTGTGTCTTTGATGTCATGGCCTCAGGAGACTTGGAGCATGCTGCTGCCGGAGCTTTCTAAGAAGGCAATTTGACAGTGCTACTAGTAGTAGTATGATGGCTTTTACGATACAAAAAGAGGAGAACAGTGGATCTGTCTTGAAGCAGATTCTGTTGCCGACTCACACCAAAGATAGGTACCGATAATATGTGTAAAATTGAAGTTCAGACAAACTAGTCTCCGTCGGCCTAGCACAGTACATGTAGTTCTTTTCGACGGAGTTAGCAGTTCTATTTGTTCGGTGGTTGCTAGCTAGATAGGAAGAGCAAGCCCCAAACTTAGCTAGGAAGAAGGCAGAAGAGGGTCTTAGAAACAGCTTAGCATAGTAGTCTATTGAAAAACGTGGAGAAAACAGGCTAGGAATGATCCATCGCCGAGGAGAGGAAGAGCGTAGACTCCGCCCAGCATGAACTGATTGAGGCCCTCCTACGAGTGGAGGACTCAGCAAGAAGCCACTAGTGGAACGGCTTTACGAAAGGTTTGACGATGGATAAAAGAGAGTACCGGCGCGCAGCCATCGCTCGTTACGTCCTTGAAGAGGAGCTTCAGTACGGAGCTTCATTACACCTTATACGGCTAAGAGGAGCTTCAGTACACCTAATACGGCTACAGCTAGGTGAGCACAATAAAAATCAAATGAAACCATCATCATGGTCTATCGGATAATCGCAGATTGGCGACGGGCATTGATTGCCGAGTTCGACGATGGCACAGAGACCTGTTCAGCCAGATTGGAAGAATCTTGTCGAGTCACTTAGACCGACAGAGGAATCGCAGGGCGCCGGATCGATGGGACTCTACGAATCTGGACATTTGCGCTATGGACACGTACGATGTGCCTGAGCACTGGATGGACGCGAGCTACAACGCGAGCTACAACTTGAACGCGAGCTCTTGGGCTGCTTCTACGGAGTCTCCTTTGCCAAGGCTACATTTAGAATTGTTCCCATTCTTTCAGGTTGTGGTCCAGCTACTACCCCATTCACGGGGGGCTCTTGGCACCAGTCACCGTCGTCCAAAAGGGAGTCAACTGGCTCCCCGGGTGCCTACTGCTGAACAACCATGGGCATACGAAGAAAACCAAATGGCTATTCCCGTCCTTCGTGGTCGTATTGAATTCATGGATTCGGCGGCAAAACACATTTGGGGCCAAAATTACCTCTGGATAGCCGTGCCCTTTTCCGTTACGACAGAAGTGGCACGTCTGCTCCCAGTAATGCTCCTCCGCCCTCGCGCACCCTTGATATTCAACGTTGTATCGCCCGTGTGTACCGGTAGCGTACCTTGACCGCAGACGTCCGCACCAAGGAAGTAGATGCGATGCGTATCGTCAACACAACTCTGTTTGTGATCGTTGCAGCGGATTGGCAGCTAGACTGTGAGTGTGATCAGCTCGATGCTGTTTTCCCTCATTTTTTTGGAGACCACGACGATAGCACTCTCTTCATTGCTCAATCCCCGCGCGGAGGCCCCGATGATTTTTGAGACGAGGTGTCTCGTTGGAGATGCGCCCAGACTTTGAGATTTGAACCAACCCAGACCACATCCACAACCACAACCACCTGGATTGGCAAAGTTTGCATTGAGTTTGTGCGCTCTGGCTGGGTTTGATTGCCATGGTCAAGAACGTTTCTCTTGCACGAGGAGGATCGTGCTCTTTCCTCGCGGCACTTTTGGATCCGGAAATACTAGTAAACATCTGTTCCATTTGTACTATGCAAACCTTTCATTAGGACAAAAAGAGGACTCTCAGTCCACGCCAAAATTGGGCCGAGATATCTTCGACCTCACCATACCACCAGTCCCAATGACATTTTCTGTCTTCTCTGGATATCAAGCCAACCTCGACCGTTGTCACATGAATTGGATGACGAAAGTCCATGATCAGTTGTCAACCAACTTACTTGTGGAACTATCCTGCCAAGCAGGATGTTGGGGCATTCGAAACGAGCAGCCTTTGAGCGGCCCACGTGCGTATGACACGACCAATTGCGCCAAGGATGTCGAGACGCTTTCACGAGTACGTTCCGATGAGCACTGTGCGCCTTGGCTGGTTCTCTCGCCGACGACACCTGCAATTCTGGATTCCCCTTGGACGATCTTTGGGTAGAAGAAGCACCCTGCCAATGGCGTAGGACACACTCACGGCCGGGTTCTTGACTAGTCTACTCCGATCCAATCGAATACCATAGCCAGTGACACGTTGGCTTGCCGCTCCGAACGCGAGATTGCAAGACAAGAGGGTCCACCGGAAACGAGCTGCGAGGACCCCTTGGATTCGTTAGAGCAAGTTCGGATGAAAGGCGACAGGAGCAGGACGGAGCCAAACACAAGACATACCAGCAAAAATTACATCACTGGGCTAGAAACGGACTTTTTGCTGTCTGTAGGCGGCTTGTGCAAAAGAAACTCACCACTTTTTCGTTCCTGCTCGGATTCTTTGGTTAGCCATTGCTTGCAGTAGGGGTCTGTCTATCCTGCAGTAGTACCGTGCCGGTAGTATTCCACTCGTGATCTTCTTCTTGTACAAACCACAAGTTTCTTGATTTGAATACTTGTGTCTTATCGTCGAGGTGATTATTCCAATTGGCATGAACCGCCACAGCTTGTGAGAACAATTGAGTATCGTTCATTTGACCCAGAATATTGCCATTGGGGAACTGTATGGATGGTAGAATCTTCACCGGAACATGTCGATCAAAGAGCAGCTCATTGACTTGTGTTTGGTCGCTGCGATCCAAAATCATGTTCTGAATAAGAGTTTGGGTGAGATTCCGGTTTTGACTCGTGTCTCTCCAATACATAAACCCCGAATTCAAGTTGAGTTTGTAAGTTGGATTGGTGTCGTTCTGTCCCACAATATCATGATCTTGTTCTTGTTGTTCCAAGTAGGGCCATGGATCTTTCAAAAAGACCACGTCGACATCCGTGAGAAAAGTATCGATGCCACAGTGAAGGATATCTCGCAAGGCAAACAACTTGGCATTGATGAGTGTCTTGTGTGATTCGGTCCCCCAACTCGCAGTGTCCGTGAGTGTCATGTTCTTGGACTGCTTGAAAATAGAAAGGTACTCTTGATACGTCTGGTTGGCATCGGTTTGCATTTCTTCCAGGATTTTCTTGTCGTACTCCGGGATGCACAGTAGTATGTTCCGTAGATTCTTATTATTGCTGCCTTGCTGCTTGTGCAGTCGCTGCCAAAGTTGTGGACAGAGGTCCTCATTCATGGCCAAGACAATAATGGGCATCCAAACTACATCATGTACTACTGCCGAGGATACTAGCCGTTGGATGGATATCAACGAGTTGAGCAAGAGAGGCAAATGTCCCGAGTTGCAGACAAAGGCATGAACTGCCATTCTTCTGGTTCCTGTTGTTGCATCGTGGCGTAGTACTGCCTTTTGCAAGGCCGGACAAAACAAGGTTGGATCTTCGTCCCGATCTCTATGGAACACGAGAGAGTCCGTGTAGGCTTGGAGTAAGGATCGGATGCTCCCGCCATCTTGCAATTTGGTTTCCCACCATACCAGCAACGCAAGGACGGATATTATGGCAACGAGGGAGGTGGACAAAGACCTTGTCTTCTTCTTCTTCCTTCTTGCCGAAGAGCTTCCCGCTCTTGAATACTCTGACTTGGGCATTTTTTATTGATTAATTTTGCTCTCTTGTTGTTCATTGGGCCCGGCCACTGGTTATCGTTCGTTGGTTCTTCTTCCAGACATCAGTCAGTGAGTCGAGTGACAGTCGAGTCGAGTCGAGTCGAGTGGGCCCGTCAGGAATGCTACGCTGCGATGCTCGTTGCGGCTCATAACGTGAGTAGATCTGTTCTGGTCATGCCGTTCCGTGCCGCCATCAACCAGCCACAATTTCGCCTTTGATCTACCAATCAAGACAGACATGACCGTCAGACAGGGTGCTTTACTAAAGATACTGTATGATAGATAACAACTAGACTAACTGTCACAAGCTACCGTACAACAACCACACAGCAGCAGTCGATCACCTCTCATCTTGGTTGTGCGTGGCATCGATCCTCAGCTGACAGAGCTCACACAGCAATAAATAGAATAATAATAAAATTATGTTTCCCGAAAGTGTTCAGTCGCGAATCTCTTAATTAACACTGACGCTAGCCTGCCCCTTGGTTTCCAATGACACGATTGATTGATCATTCATCACTGGGTCTTTCTATGCATATTATTACTGAGGTCTTTTTAAATTTCTGTTCGATTTCGCAGGAAGCATAACACGGTCCAACCACCGTACCGGTAGTACTAGCTAGTACTCTGCTAAAAGCCCCCAGTTGCTTGCGCGTACCGTACTGCTCTGCTGATAAGGTAGCAGGCGATGCAACCGGTATTGGTGTGTACCGGTAGTCTACCACCGGTAGACACTAGGTTATCCGTACGTTGGAGTCACCGGGTCAACATGGAAGGAGTCACCGGGTCAACATGTACCGGCCGCAAAAGGTTGCCTCCCAACAATAGAATTATCAACCAGCTTCACCGCCCACGGCAAAGCGTCTACTATTAATAGTCAATTTTATTTAGTTGGATGATGAAGCCTATTAAAAAGATAGATGAGGTAAACAATAGAGTACTTGACTCACTCGACTCAACTTCACACCATTGCCAAAACCAGAGGCAAGTTAAAACCAACCAACCAACCAACCAACCAACCAACCATTATTACCATGGCTACCTGAAAATAGTCACGGATTGTTGAGTTTGCTGTTCACAGCATCCGATCTTCTGTGACTCGACAAATCTCGGACATAAATAGTTGGGCCCCCGAATGATTGCAGGTCCAATCGAATCCAAGAACGGCGCCGGTACTTCATCAGTAACAATGATTTCAGACCAAGGTATTCATCCAAACCTCACAATTAGGATTCCTCCACAACCAAAAGCAGCTCATCAAAACCAACCACACAGCACGTCTTTCTTTTCTTTTCTTTTCTTTTCTTTTCTTTTGCAACCATGAAGTTTTCATCCAAAATCCTTTTGTGCTCATCCTTGCTTATGGCCATCCTTGGAACTGCTCATGGTAATGCAGTTCAGGTCTTGACCTGCCTCAATGATGGTGGAAAAATCCGTGTGTTCCTTGAGCACACTAATGGCTATCTCCCATATCCTCCAATCAACTCAAATACTGCCTTCGCCAACGTCGAATCGAGCCTTGGTCACTTCGACCAAGAGTTGAGTGATGGGGTGATCAACGGCACTCCCAAGAGGGACCTTGGGCAGTACTGCAAAGACAACATCCCCCCTGTTGGAGTTGCTGGCTGTACCGGTAGCGGGGTACCTAACGACGACAATTGGGTCTGGTTTGACATAGGAGAATTTGTTGACTGTAGTCTTGGGGTTCCTGCCTACACTTTCAGTGTACCAAGAGGCACTTTTACATTCTCCGCATATTGTCCCGGCCTCTATCCCCAGACCATCCAAACCTCTGATTTTTGTTCTGCACCTAGCCCCCCCACCCCCACCACAGGACAGATTGCTGGTGATCCCCACATCCAAACTTGGGACAAGAAGTGGTACGATTTCCATGGACAGTGTGATCTTGTCTTCCTTGAGAACAAGGAGTTCAACAATGGCCAAGGCATGGATGTCCATGTCAGGACCACAGCCCGATACCAATACTCCTACATTGAAGCTGCTGCCGTGCGCATTGGAGATGATGTCTTGCAAGTCAGCTCTCATGGAAACTACTTTTTGAATGGCATTGGACAGGCCTCCATGCCAGCCACTCTTGGAGGCCACAATGTGACTTATTCTGTTGATGACAACAAGAAGCACACATTCGTCACTCACCTTGGAGAAGATAGGAATATTGTCATCCAAACTTTCAAGGACTGGGTCAATGTCAAGATGGATGCCGCTGATATCAAGCACTACGGAAACAGCAAGGGTCTTCTTGGAGAGTTCCCCAGTGGAGACTGGGTTGGCCGTGACAACGCTCTCTTTACTGATGCCAATGAATTCGGACAGGAATGGCAGGTCCGTGACACTGAAGCCAAACTTTTCTCGGTCAACCGTGAACCGCAGTTCCCCCAGAAGTGTGTCATGCCTGACCCCAAGAGTGCTGCTCGTCGTCGTCTTGGAGAGTCCATTGCCAAGGCCACGGCTGAGAGGGTTTGCGATCACTGGGCTGCTGATGAGAAAGACCTCTGTGTCTTTGATGTCATGGCCTCAGGAGACTTGGAGCATGCTGCTGCCGGAGCATTCTAAGAAGACATTCTAGTGGTATTGTCTGGCCGGATTGGTTGATTGGAAGGTGCTAGGCATCAATTGACGCCTGGAGGCCTCACCTAAACCAAGCTGTTTGTCATTACATATTATCATGGGTGGATCTGCCTTGTGCAGATTCTGTTGCCACACAAAAACACGTAACCTCTAAAAAAGCAGGGGTTCCAAAGATAACCATAAAAAGAAAACCATTACAGTATCAAAACTTCGTAGCTAGCCTGTACTACTGTATTGATCAGAGATGGGAGTATGACTGTGTTAGAACTGATACCGTAACGGCGCGTGATGTCTTTGGCATACAATGATACGATGGCATGAGAAAGGATACGGATCCTAAACTATGCATACGTATTACATGCCAATCTCATGCTTCGCCACCTAGTAGAGTTCTGGCTGTCTCCAATCACCGATAGTTGTTGCACTCTGGAAGACAACTTTGGGATTCAGGTAGATGTGGTAAATATAATTTTAATACAAATATTTGGAGTAAACAATATCTTTAACCTTATATTTACCGAAACTACTCATCCAAAGCTGTCTTCCTGGCATGTGACGTTCTAGTACGCAAACTTTTCCCTCAAGCAAATTCACGTTGAGGGAAACTAGCTGATTATGTGCTAGCCAACAGTAGACCAAGCTTAGGCTCTTTAGAAGAGGTGAAACTCGGGCGGTTCCAGTGCCAGGTACAAATCTTCTGGTTGATGCCTGATCCTGGTGGAAATGCATAGTCACAAATGAGTGGCTGCATCTAGCAAGAGTACAATAGGGGCCGGACTTTTGATGTGGAACACCGTTTGAGAGTAGGCGCGTGCTAGGTCTTGCTCACACTTTATTACTTCAGTAATTATGCAATGCCCCCTTCCAAATTTTATGGCGACCAAACTAGCTATTATCAATAGTAATACATGTAGCTAGCTAGCAACGATCACTCAAAACAGTTTCTGGTACAAGTGCCTTTACGATCGAGGATCCTCTCCCACCCCAAGAAGAGGCGAGCTGCTATCCCATCATGTCTGCTTCTTAGTACAACTACGACTTGGAAGTCACCTCAGAGTTTGCCAATGCCTTGTTGCCCTAAGATAGATAGATAGATGAAGAATACTGACTGTCCTCCGCATCACGGGCAAGGAGAATGGAGATAATGCTCATGCCATTCGGATGAAGTACGAGACTGTGCTAGTAGTGTTGGGCCTTGTCTACACTTTATATCCGTCATTGCATGAGTGCTTGAGCTTCGGGCCAACCGTGCCAAAACAAAAAGAACACTTACTTACATTTTACGCGACGCCCCTTCCTTTATGGCGACGCAGCGAGCACTCAAAACAGTTTCTGGCATCAGTGCGTGCCTCCACGATCGAGGATTCTCTCCACCCGAACAGAAGAGGTGATGGACCTGGTAGCTACCATCTCCATCGTGTCTGCTTCTTTGTACACAACCACACATAGCGAGTTGAAAAGTCGTCGTTGGCAGAAGCAGCGTTTGTCAATGCGCTCGTTGCCCCCAGATGAAAAGAATGATCCTCCGCATCACGGGCAATGATCAGAGAGAGAGAGAGAGAACGCAGAAGGCATGCAACTGAAGTAGTGCCCGACTGGGTCGAGTCGAGGCCCTCTCCCCGAAGCCCCTACCAAGTTGATTGAGCATCGTTGCGTTTGAAAGGCGATCATGGCACTGTCTGTCCAAGCGGCCTTGCTAGCTAGTGTTGTTGATCCTTCCGACGAGTTGTTGTCCATAGCCAGACCGTAACTGTCGTTCTTCCACCACCAACGGAATATTGCTACTCGTCTTACTGCTACTCCAAAAACCACAGGTTGTGTGCTTGGAGTACGTTCTTCTTTTCCTCAAAATGAGCATTCCAGTTGGCATGAACGGCCACGGCTTGGTTGGTCGTGTTGTGTTTTTGCAACACGTTACCATTGGGAAATTGTCGTGTGGGCAAAAGGGAGACGGGTATTTTCCGATCGAAGAGTAACCGATTTACTCGGGCTTGATCAATCTGCCACCAGACCATGTCGGAAATGAGTGTGTGAGTGAGATTGCGACTGTGAGGATGGTTGTGCCTCCAATACATGAATCCAGAGTTAATGTTGAGTCGGAACTGTGTAGGATTGGTGTCATTCTGGGCAATAATCATATGGTTGTTGTCTTTGGCAGAAGAAGATGTGGCAAAATAGGGCCATGGATCTTGTAGAAAAGCCACATCGACGTCCGTGATAAAGGCATCCATGCCACAATGAATGATATCCCGAAGAGCGTATAATTTGGCATTGATGAGTATCTTGTACATTTCCGAGTTGAACCTGGCCGACTCGGCAATGGAGGCATTCTTGTCTCGTTTGACCTGTTCGTAGGCTTCGTACGATCGTGGTTCGTACTGTTTCATGAGATCGAGCACTCGGTCGGCATAGTGGGGAATACAGACAGGAGCATTCTTTTTGACGTTGTCGGCAATTTCAGTACATACTTCCTCGTTGAGCGCAAAGACAATGGAAATCCACGGTTCTCGCAGTCGTTGAATCGATGCGAGGGAATTCTGCAAGAGCGGCAAGTGACCCAAATTGCACACAAAGCCATGAACTGCCGTCAACGGTGCGCTGCTGCTGCTGCTGCTGCTGCTGCTGCTGCTGCTGCTGCTGCTGTGACGAGTGAGTGCCGCCTTGTGCAAGGTTTGGCACAGCAAGTCCTCCTCCGATAATAACGCGTTTTGTTTTGGTTGATGCTGCTGTATCTGTAACAATAATGCTCTTGTTGTGGATGGCAGCAGCTTGGGTCTTGAAATAATGCTCTGCCAAACGAGCAAGGCAATGACAAGAGTGGCAGATCCAACAAAGAAAACAGACGAAGATCTCCTTCTCTTGGTGGCTACGGGGGTCATGGTGTTGCTGATCATTGTGTTGTGTCAATCGAGTCGATTGAATTCGGCACAGTAGAAAAGATAAATAGATGTGCAGAGAAACGGCTACCATTGCAGCGTCTGATAGAGTGTGTTGGAAGCAGAGCGCGCAAAAAAGACCAAATTTGACCAAATTGTGAGAGGGTGGAGCCTGCCGTTAGAGTTTCTAAAGGCCCACCCCATCCTTACCACACAACACCAATCAGGCATCTCCCAAGATTGGTGATGTGTGACCCCCGCACCGTGTCGAGCAGCAGCACGCCTGGGGAACCCCCCCCCGTCCGAGTTTCCACGCCCCGCAGCGTGGAAACTTGAACCCTGATGGGTTCTCACAACTATGACCCTAATCATGGTTGCCGAGAGGACCATCTCACAATTTGCAAAATTAATTCCCACGCTCCTTACCTACAACTCAAGTATATCTCTACATCTCGCAGGTCATCACCTGCGTTCCGGAATTGGATACCCCACATGATGATGCACCGCATCAGCTCCTCCATGCCTCTCGAACAAGATCACCCTTAAGGCAACGACGCCCATCCAAGACCACATTTGGCAAGATCGACAGCGGCAACCATGAATCACTAAAGCCAGCGACCTAGCCAAGACCAGCCATTGAACTGCCGATCGCAAGAAGGTTGTCTCTCTCTCAGCTCACAATTCTTCATTCAGCCGACGCTGAAAGCAAGAACCTAGATTAGATTAATCTCTTGTGCCGGCATCAGGTTTCGTATCTTTTCGACCCTCACCATGGCCAGCTCTAATTTTTCGGATCTCGTCTCTCGTGCAGCGGCATGGGAGGTGCATGCTCCTAACTACGCTGATATCCTCACTGCTGTGGGTGACGCCTCGAATGCAAATTGTGATGTTGCCTCTCGCGCCATGAGCCAATTTTGCCTTCGTTCACCGATCACCTTTGGCTTCGTCCTCCAAAATGATGAAACGAATATCTACATTGGACACTCACTCTACGCTTACCCCGTGAATCCGAGCCAAGCCTCTCCTTACGACAATCTCTATGCTATCGTGGTGGGGAACGACCTTCCAAGCGCTATCACGGTGGTCCTCCCCATGTCTGCCTTCGAGCGCACGGCTGACATAGCCTGCCACAACATGACAATTATTGACGGAGGAACCATGTTTGCTGCCGTTTCCGCTCCTGTGCTACACAGTGGCCCCCACGGCGGTGGTGTCCCAGATACTGATGTCTTCCGCGTCCGTCGCGTGATGCCTCTTCCGTCCTATCTTTCTGAAGCCATCCTCGCGGCCCGTCCCGAGGGACAGTACAGTCTTCCCCAGTTCCGGGCGGAAGTTCTCACTCCTGAGATAACTCACGCGGATCCTGCGCGACAAGCTGCTATCGCCCCCTTGGTCCAATGGTTCCGCGCCTGTTGTACGTTGGCCGCGGGAGGTCATACATCCACTAGCTATGACGCTGCCAACGTGGCCGCGCCCATTAGCGCTAACGCACTCCAACGAAGCACCAACCGGGTGCTCTCCCCCTACCTGGCTGCGCTTGGCGCAGTAGGTCCGGGCCTGACCAATGCAACCTTCAATGCGGGAATCACGAACCTACGTGATACGCTGGAGGCCACTGTTGAACAACAACTCCAGTATGACCGTGAGAAGAGCAACAAAACCTTCACGGATAAATTTGGGGCTGCCCTAGCCACTCGCGTCCACAACCTCTGTAACATGGCCGATGACGCAAACCTTCCCGTCATTCACCGTCTGCTCGCGAAGTCCCCTAAAGGGAATGAACACGGGATCCTGCAAGCTCAACTAGATGAACGCACTCAAGCATCGGCGCTACCCATTAACCTCGCGAACAAACCCTTGGTCACTGGACACATTCTGGATTGTGTCTTCCGCAAGCACTTCGTGAACGGTCAAGGGACCACCTTGGGTGAAGGTCTCTCCCCCTTGTCGGTGGTGTGCCAAGGCCATTCGGAAGCTAAGGCAGTCCAGGACTTAGCTGCTCGAGCGGAGTACGTTGAGAAGGGAGCCTCCGTCACCTTTGAAGATGCCATCGCCATCACTTCGACCGACGTCAAGTTTCCCACCGATGGTCGCATTGCAGAGGAGAAGCTCTATGGGTTCTCCATCATGATAGATGTCTTCCATGGAGGAAACCATCCAGTTTCGCGCTCGGTACGAGATGAGGCCCTCTCGCTGGGATCCTACCTCCACACCATCCATGGCCTACATGCTGACAACCGCTCTGTTTGGTGGAGATCTCCTTCCACTGGCGCTGGAGAGGCCAGCCCAAGGCTGGCAGCCAATGCTATTCAATCACTGTGGAAGCAATGATTGAACAGTCTAATTGCTCAATACCCTGGCACTGGCCATACAGGATCCGGTCTACTGCAGAGCTCTGCTTGTGCTGTTGGGTCTGTTTCTCAGGTCAACTACTTCTTTAAACTATAAACATAAACACAACTCTGATTTTGCGACTTTCTCCATCCAGCCATGCAGGATACAGATCCATGCATCTCTTTTGGCTGGTATAGACCAAGCTATCTTTCTAGATAGGTCATGGCTGAGGAACTGCATCATCCTTCCTTGCAGAGGAACTCTATGTCCTCTACAGCTGTTCCTACATCTAAGAAGCGCATTTTTAGGTAGCGCGAAAACGGGAGCACCCCTACCATACCATTCCACGTGTTTGGCATATAAAATCGTGATGTCGCTGGTTAAAGCTTTGGTAGTAATTCAGCAGTTTCGGAAGGTGAGGTCATCCAACCGGATCCGACGAGCTCCTGATTTGTAAGGTAGCATGCATGATAACATACAGCCACGACCTTGCCAACCCAGTCGTGCCCTTTCAGTTACTTAGGTATGCGTATGTATTTAGGAGGAAAACTACATACAGAATGCACCAGGAAGAGTTTACGGATTGCTAAGTACAATCTCATTTTATAGGATCGAGCCACTCCAGAGCCCAGAAACTGTCAATTGGAAACTCAGAAGCCACATTTTTGACGGTGTCTAGTACGTTCTATATGCTAAAAAGTAACATCTGTAAGCTACCAGTTGATTTGTACCTATCTACAAATGGTTTGGTATCGTTGTGAGTACTGTGATGATTGGTTTAAGAACCAGAGAGCTCTATCAAGTCACATACAAGCCTATCAACCTTGTATTGAGGCACGGAACAGAGTGCTGGGCATTGACTGGACTAACAAGAAGGAGTAGATCCAGGGCAAGGGCTGCAGTAGGTTGTTAAACTGGCCAGTCACTGCTCCATCGATGTCCATTGGATGCCAATTCCCATCTGTTTTCTTGATTCTTGATGTATTCGAAGTATGCATTTTGTATGCCTCAACCAGTATTCAACTCCCCATTTGGTTGTCGTTTTTGGGTGGTGGAGCTAACCGGATCATTGTCAAAGAACAGAAATCATCATCCTAAGACGTGGATCGGCAACAACTGCCACACACAATTGCGAGCCTCCAGCACACAACATTGATCTTTGCACCACAATAAGGAAGCGTTATCTCCTTTTCGAAGGAAACTTGTCTGGTCATGTGGTACCGTTTCTTGAGCAGCTCATCAATGCTTTGCGCTGAGGTAGTCTGGCACCCACCGATTGGCTCATCTCCAATCGCTTACCAGTTTCCTCTAGGTGCCAGCAAGAATATCATCATAGGCAGATCAGAGGTGTCTTGTTCTTTTGTAAGATATCCATCAGCCTGGCGTCCCCTTGCCTGCTTTTCATTCATGGGATGTTGCTACGCCGACTCTTCTCACAGTACTGTCTGAATTGCTTGATATTTCTGTTGTCAGGAGGTCTCTTGATCCTTGTTTTCTTGTCCTGGTTGTCGTTTTGTATGATTGTTGCCACGGATCCTTCGCTACTGATTCCTCATCACTGTCAGTTTCATCCGAATCCTCGTTGTGGCTTCCTGATCCTCGTCCTTCGCATCTACCTCTTCTCTGCCTTTCCTAATACCTCACTTTGGTTGCCAAATTTGTGCATCCGCTGCCTGTTTTCTATCATCCCTCGTCGTCATCCTCATCTTCGTCGTCCTCATCCTCATCTTTAGACCAGTACGATCAACATTCAAGGGTCCCATTCCATTGGATCATCTTCCTCTTGCATCTCTTGTGGAATGTCTGACTGGATTCTTCCTCTTCCTGGGTTGTTGGTGTTGGTGCCCTTGCGGGCCTCCCAGTGTCAGTAGCACCTAGAT